CTAAAATTAATGTTGCTTCGGTGTGTGACTTTACTAAAACCATGTCGGACTCCGTAGTTTTCTCCGGCCCCCTCCCCAACCTGACCAGCGATGACATGTCGTGGTTTAACCGCTGGGTGTCCAGGTGGTGTTCTGACAACGACGTGGGCTACATAGATAACTGGAGTTCTTTCAGGGGAAAACCTGGTCTGATAAGGAGAGATGGCATCCATCCCACTTTGGACAGAGCTGCTCTTCTTTCTAGAAATATGGCTGATTTTGTTTATCCTCCAAATTATTGACAACCCAGGGTCCAGTCCAGGAAGCAGAGTTGTAGTCCTCCACCCCTCTCTGCTGCTTCTCCTCTGTTACCCACCCACACCCACATTGAAACAGTGTCAACTCGCCCACAGCTCAAATTAAATAAACCAAAAATCAGCTCTAAAAATATAAACCATAAAAATCTGATTAAAATAAACACAGTTACTTTACCAGAGCAAAATCATCAAATCATTAAATGTGGATTATTGAACATGAGATCTGTTTCCTCTAAATCCCTGTTAGTTAATGAACTGATAACTGATCATCATATTGATTTATTGTGTCTGACAGAAACTTGGCTACAACAGGAGGATTTTGTTGGTATAAATGAATCCACTCCTGTTAATTATTTAAATGTTCATGTTCCTAGAACAACTGGCCGAGGTGGAGGAGTAGCTTCTATTTTTCAGTCAGGATTATTGATTAATGCCAAACCAGTTATTAGTTATGATTCTTTTGAATCACTGTCCCTCAGTCTTTCTCATCCAAAATGGAATTCAGAAAAGCCACTTTTACTAGTTGTTATATATCGTCCACCAGGAGCTTACTCTCAGTTTTTATCTGAATTCTCAGAATTATTAACTGACTTATTATTAAATACTGATAAAATCATCATAATGGGTGATTTCAATATTCATGTAGATGTTGAGAGTGATAGTTTAAGCATAGCCTTTAATAATTTAATAGACTCATTTGGTTTTACCCAAAACGTCCGCACATCTACTCATTCTTATCATCACACTCTTGATTTAGTTCTGACCTATGGTATAGAGACTAAGGACTTGGTAATAGTTCCTCAAAATCCTGTTCTGTCCGACCATTTTTTAATAACCTTTGAGTTTACATTAAATGACTACACAGTCACTGAGAGTAAAGTTCATCTCAGCAGGTGCTTATCAGAAAATGATGTAACCAAATTGAAACAATCTCTTCCATCAATGTTTTCCTCTGTCTTGCAGAGTAATGCATCAGAGAACAGAGACTTAGATCATCTAGTTGATCATCTTACAACTTCAATACAAACTTCACTTGATAAAATTGCTCCACTGAAAAAGAAAGTAATCAATCAGAGGAAACTGGCTCCTTGGTTCAATTCTGAGTTACGCACTTTAAAGCAGCATCTAGAAACCAGGAGAGAAAATGGAGCTCTACTAATGTTGAAGAATTTTATTTAACTTGGAAAGATAGTCTGCTAACATATAAAAAAGCTCTCCGTAAAGCTAGAACTTTATATTACTCATCTTTAATAGAGGAGAATAAAAATAACCCTAGGTTTCTGTTTAGTACTATTGCTAGACTAATTAAAAGTCCCATTTCTGTTGAACCATGTATCCCTACAACTATAAGTAGTGATGACTTCATGAGATTCTTTATAAATGAAATTATTTCAATTAGAGACAAAATTCAGACCATCCTTCCTTCTACT